TATTTTTCTTCATTATTCAATCAATATCTTCAAATATACTAAACCTTTTAGATTAATAATCATTTATACCAGAATTAACCCATCCTGTCTTAAAAAGCTATATGTTTGAAGGATAACAATATTTATAATCCAATTTTACCTCAAAGCTATATTCATTATTTTTAAACTAGTTCAAATAATATGTACTAAAATCTGTGATGCAATAATAAGTATCCTTATTATCATTAAGGCAAAGAACAATTTATTGTAAAATTTTCCTATTTTGATAATCAAAACTTGTTAGTTAAAGAATCACTTCTTTGATAAATTCCTATTTAATAGAAAGATTTATCATCTTATTTTCCAATATTTACTTATGTGAATTTCTTTTCTATTTGAAGTAAATCTAATGAGCTTTGAACATATAATCCATCATTCCATACATAAATCTTGTTTGATCTTGTAGATCCATTGCCATCAATTACTTGAGTTGAATTTTAACTTATTCTGGATCACTAAATAAATTCTTCTAACTAAATTCTTAAAAACGTTCTTATTTTTATGATTCCTTTTCATTTTTTTATATCTATTGAATTTATAAAAGATAAAGATTGCAAAACCTACATTCTTTTACTTAGGGAATATCTTATCTGAGTTATTACTAATTTTAGATAGGAGATGCTTAAGAAGTCTAATTTTATGTTTTATTTTTCATTAAAGTATTATCTGCTTTTATAGAGCTAGAATTCTAGGTCTTATAAAAGTTTTAAATTATAGTATACAAATCATTTATTGTCTAATTACTTGACTTATATTGATTTATTAACTAATTGAATATATATTCAATAGAACTCCAAAATTCTTTTCTAATTTTAAGATAATTGCTATATTCTTATGGCACTTATTAATTTATTAGATCTCTAAGATTTGATATTCTGTCTAAAAATAGTTAAACTTTTTCATAACCCATTTATGAATTTTCTATTGATGATTCTTCTTTCTTTTCTTCCTCTAAAGGGACATTTGAAGATATATTTAATTTGTTAACTTAATTTTTTAATATTTATGATTTTTCTATATCCTCTTTTTTCGCTTAATTTAGATTTTCTACCTATGCTTATTAAAGTATTTGGCCCTTCATTTAAACATTATCAGAATTCTTTAATTTATTTTTTACTTAGCAACCTTCATCCAATTTTTATTAAGGAAGAGCTTCCTTCAGTAAAATATTAGAAGTTAATTGCTTTTCTAATGAAGTTACATCAATAGAATTCAAGGACTGAAAACATAGATTAGTAATATTTTGCTAGACCTATTACGAAATCTGATTATTAGCTTTATTCTGAATGTTATGTGTTAATTCTTCTAACTTTTATGAGATAAGTTGCGAATTTTATTGCTTCAGCTATTCATTGTTTTGTATTTAAATAGTGACATCTTCTTGACCTCCAAGTTACTTCAATAAATTTAATTTTTTACTGAGATCATACTGTTCAGATATTTTCAATTCTTTCTCCTTAATATAATGACGCAATTACTCTAGTTCTTTTTAATTTTGATCACTATATTTACAATTTTATTACATCATTTACTGCTAGATAATTTTATCTTGATTTTATAGCAGAGTTTTAATTTATATTATTAGATTCTCATTCTCATCCATAGCTTATTTGAGATAATTTTTCAAATTATTGACTTATTCTTCAAGTTCAGATATTTCCCTTTTTTAAGCAATCTTATTTTATTGAATAGTATTATTTAACAGTGTTATTTCATCTCTAAATTCTTCTTTAGTTTTGTCATTTTCAAATTTTTCTTATGGCTCTTTCTCTAATTTCTACTAATACTTCTATTTTTGTTTTAAAATGAATTCATGACTAAATATCAAATCAATAGATTGCTAGTCTAGTTGAGTCAATATTTTGATTTAGCCTATATTAATTAAATTTTTTTGCTGCAAGGAAATTTATGAATCTTATAATTTTGATCGCTTATTTTATTGCATTGTTTTTGTAGACCAACTGATTTCAAATTACAACGGATTATAATAACTTAACATTTTAGAGCATCTTTTTACTGTACAAATATTCAAACTACAACTGCTTCGTTACAAATTTCTTTTGATTGGCGATAGCAAACGGAAATCAATTATCTTAGGAAAAGTTTTTTTGACTTAATTTTGATTCTGACATAAATCAAAAGTTTATCATTATAAATAACAGAATAAGCTTTAAATCTCTTCAATTTCAGGTTCATCTTCGAACTCTAGACAGTGTAGGTAGTTTAAAATTGATATTATAGCCTTATCTTCTATATTGTTGTAAGGAGACTAATACATAATTTTAAGTTTATCATCTATCATTGTTTAAATCTGCAATTGATGTAATTGTTCTTAATTTTCTTTCTACCATGGAAGATGCTCATGGCGCAGTAAGAGTAATGAATATGCTGCTGAAATGTAATCGTCTCTTCTGGATGGTTCGATACCTTGCTAGGTAAAAATAGATGCTACATCATGAATACCAACTAGTTTTTTATTCCTTTGCTCAGGTATATGCTAATTATGTTCATCAATATATTTAATGGAAGACCCAAATGCGATAAGATAAATTTTGTTGTTTTAAACTCTAAAATTGTCAGGATGAATGTTTCTGTGCAGATATCCCAAATCGTGCAGTTACTTAATGCTTTTAAACATCATTCCAACTATCTGATAGAAACTAAGTCCACTAGGATCTTAGATATTTCAATTGTAAAAATCTTAAAAGCTTGTATCTAAGTATTAAATTATCAAATATGGAGTCTCTGCTGCAGTTCCATGATTATAGTACTTTGGAATCGATATTTCTTCTTATAGATCTCTACTTTGGATCAACTTTTTTAAGTTCCTTAGATTAATAGATTCTTGTAGCATTGCATTCCCAAGCATACAATGTTCAAATTTTATAACAACGAGATCTTAATACTTGTTTTTGTACAAAGCAACAGTTCCAAAGAGACCTTTTCCAATAATTTTTCCAGTATATTAATATTCATTCACTTAGTGAGGTGGTGTCAATTATTTCATATTTAATAAAAGTAAGATTATATTTTTGATCAATTTTTATTTGCATATTGCTGATATATGATTAATAAATTCCTTAATATTGATTTCCTTGTTTATTTTATATTGAAGGGGTTTTGGGGTTTTGGGG